AGTTGCCCACATAGTTCATATTCTCCTGATAGTTCTGGTTGTCATTTTTACCGCTCCACGAGCACACATATGGTTGGTTAATGCATGATATGCATAAGCCTCCATTAGTCGTGTCAACTATGTGTACCTGCTTCTACCTGATTCATCGATCTTCTTGGTGAGGATACTCATTTGCGTCATCAGAGTGGCCATATTCTCGGCTATAGAGTTGTTTGGGTCCAAAGCTACTGAGTGAACTACAAAGCTCATTGTAGTGTCTCTTGTCATCCATCCTGAATTTTGAGCCATTTTATCCAGCAGGACCTTACACTCTCTAAATGATTTGCTCACAAATGCTCCACTTACTGAAGCATCAACCTTGGCCTTCGAGCTATCTGCCAATCCCATATAAAACCTTTGTCCCAACATCTGATCTAAAATGCCATGATGTGGACACTTAACCAGCATCCCTTTGAACCTCTCCCACGTTTCTTATAGTGTTTCATCTGGTTTCTACCTGAAGCTCAATATCTCATCAACTTGCTTGGCAGTCTTATTGGGTGGGTAGAACTTGTTCAAAAACTACTTGACTAATTCCTCCCAAATGGTGATGGAGTTTATGGGGAGCGAATTAAGCCAAGTCTGAACTTCTCTAGTCACTGAGAATGGAAACAATAACAGTCTGATTGCTTCCGGTGTCACATTCGGTTGCCTTTGAATGACACAAATTGACAAAAAGTTTTTCAGATGCTGTTGTGGATCTTCAATGTAAGACCCGGAGAACAGTCCCTTGTTCTGCGGCAGATGTAGCATGTTGTTTGTGATGTGAAATGACTCTGCTTGTATCTGAGGGACTACAATTGCGGTTGCCAGATTTTCAGCAGTGGGTTGTGCCCAATCATACAAGGCTGCTTCTAGCACAAGAGGTGCCACACCCTGATTGTTCGGGTCATCCCTATTGTTTCATTATTTTGGTTGTGTATGACATCTCCCATGTCTAGTTCGATATGTTCTGTTAGATTTTATTATCGTTTGTCCTTCTTGTTTGCATGATTTAATGCCTTGAAAGCTTTCTCAAGATCCGGTAATGCTTCAAACAATTTACCAGTTCTTGAAAATTTTCTAGGCATGCACCTGTAACACACAAGACTACAAACGTTAGACTTTCAGTATAATGGATTTACAAAATGAAGAAAATTGACTAAACTAAAAATCCTAGCAATTCTTCTAGCTGTAATTAATAACACCATTAATTCCCTGGTAACGGAGCTAAAATTTTATCACGCCCAACTATGCCTTACAAAAAGGACTAAGCGGTCATTGCAATGCAATCCGCTTTATAAGTCTGGAGTCGAATCTCACAGGAAATTAACCTACTAATAACAATTGCTAGTTTCGCAAGAATTCAAGTAATTAACTTCTAAAAATATTAAATAATGAGTTGAGTGTTTACTAACTAAAAGAAATGTAATTAAAAAGCTATAATTTTATTACTAACAAAGTAAATGTTGTAGACAAGATTGGAAAGATCTAGGGTTACGATTTTCCCTCTTATCGAAATCCTCCCCGCTACGTCTCCTATAAATTTGCCTAGATATTCTCTACCAATTGTGAGCACTTTAGGTGTCGTAATTCTCTTATGAACAACTATAATAATTTATTAGACGTATTCTTCCAAACTACGCTAGCTGACATTAGTTCACCGGTCACTAAGTTCACACCAAGGTTTCGTTATTCCCAATCCCACCTTTAAACCCTTCGTATTGATCCCTCATATACGTTAGGAGTGATGTTGTTCAACAACTACCTAAATATGTACCATTTTCCAAGTAACATACACTAAATAGGCATAGTCAATTGAGGGCCATTCAATTACCACAATAATCACGTAGTTGAACAAGTAGAGAAAATCCAATGGCAAACTTATATTAAATGCAACAAAAATTCATCTCCAAGAGGTTCCATCAAACCCTAGAATAAAGAGTTTAGCTACTCATAATCATTTACACAACTACAATATAAGAATTCATCACTAATAATAGAAAAAAGAAGTAGAAATATAATATTCTTGCCTTCAAAGATGTTGTGTAACCCTTAAAAAGTCATTCTTTGATGTATGTATATCACTTAGGGTTGATGAGGGGCAGAACTTTTCAATCCAACTTCGGATGGGAAAAGCTGGAATCTGCATCTCGCGCGTCGCACGCCTATGGACGCGGATTCAGCTTTTGAAATTCTTTCATTTCGCGAAGCGATCCGTGCCTTTGCTTCACTTTGTTGTTTTGCGCCTTCACTTTTGTCCTTTTCGCGTCCGTTTTCGTGCCACGCACGAGAATAGACGAGCTTCCAATCCTTTCATTTTTCTCCTTTTCGCAATAATTTGATATCTTTTGATCCATTATCATTCAAGCTCACTCCTACAAATAAGATATACGTAATGAGTATAATTCACTTCAAAAATCATGTAATCTCCCGCAACTCACACGACAAATGAGATGAAAATACACTCAAAATTATGCACTTTTGGCCATGTCAACGGGCACAATTGCCATGAATAAATTAAAATACTGATGAAATATCTTGTATAATCTTGCTTTGAAATCAAAGCAAATTTTAATACAACTACTAACAAACTATCAAAATTTCATCAAGTGTTTCTCCATAACAATGTTTCGTATATCCCAAAAGTAAGGCAATTATCAAAGCTATTGAAATCTTCAAAATTATTAAATTAAAGCATTAGAATCCGTAATAGAAATTTTAACTTCATAAAAGAAATTACTAACCTCAAACGAAAAATGAATTGTGGAAGAATTTTCCTACACTTTTTCCTTTTTAGTGATCCGGGTAATTATTCACACCAATTTGGCATAAAAAAGTGGAATTATAAAACTAAAATGAAAAATAAAGAGAGATAAAAATGACAATTTAATAGCATAAGGCTTGTCGTCATCATGGTCGAAAAAGAAATTTGGAAGAAAGACTTGGTTAGTAAAGAATATAGGAGGGAATTAGCAAAAAAGGAAGATGAGTCAGGGATTAAAAGAAAATTGGGTAAGATGAGAACTTATTTTGTAACTGATTTGAATAGGAAAACGAAACTAAATAAGCATGGAATTTGTAACTGAAATTTGTGCAAAAATATGTTTTCATTAGTTGGAGGGTTGGAACGGTTACACATAAGGAAAAAACAGATATTTAAAATGGATAAATGAGAGAAAAGAACAAAAAAGATAAAAAAGATAAATATCTTTTCAAGCCCAAGAGAGGTGCCACATAAGCATTCTTATTTCCTCTTTTATATTATATATAGATAGATAAATATGAATGAATATGAATGATTCTTCTAATGTGGGAGGAAAAGTTTCAAATGACTTATTGTTGGAAATAATTGTGCTTCTCTTATGCTCCATTTAGCGTATGTTCTCTTTACTCTTTCTTACTGTGCGGGAAACCTTTAGTTTAGCAAAAGTAAATACAACTCATTTAGATATTAGGAACTTTCAATAAATATCTGAAATTGAGAATTTTCAAATGTAAATTTCTGAAGTTAGAAAATTTTAGATCTAAATTCAGATTCAAAAATATATAATTAATGACTTGCTGAATGCTTACCGATTAATGTGATGAGCCTATTGTCACGGAGGAAAGTGTGGCCTCCATGCAAAGTGGGTTCATGTATAGGTGGCCTCGACGATGTCGTCCTCATATCTCAAGCCTACATTTCCTTCTATGTGAAAGTCACACATGTTCAATACTTGAGATGGTGACTTGTTACCATCCTTAAAATTTTAGTTACTTCTCGTATGTTTTCGTTATTTATTCTTCACTTGGTTAAGGATTGCAATATAAACCTGTACATTGATAATATGCACTGCACTTATATTTCCAAATGAGCCAAAAATTTAATTTAAATATCTAAATTACATAAGCGTACGATGCTACTTTCTTTTCACTACCCAATATGGATAACCTTAAGTCCTCACATTGAAAGTGCACTATAAAATTGAATGTGATAAATCATATGATATTAGCATAATTCCAAAATATAAAAGAATATTCACTAACAAATATATAGACGAATATTATTAGTTTTAAAGGCATCATATTAGAGAAGTAAGTAGTTGCTCATACGTAAATCTATAACAACAAATTTCTAGAAGGTGTAAAATATCCAAACATTCCCTGCTCCAAAAAGTTTCAAAAAGGAAACAAAGAAGATTCAAATTTTGTAGATCTAACAAAAATATTTTTAAATAATAAGAAAAAGAACATAGACCATCTTATTCTTCTTGTATTTTCTTTAAAAAAAAAATGGTAACTCAATCTCAGCTAGATTTACAACTTGTTTGGATAGTTGTTTCGTATTGTATTGTATCATATTGTCATTTTAAATACAATATTTGTTTTGATTGTTACTTTAATTTTATTATATTGTATCGTTAAATTCGTTGGTATGTAATGGCGAAAAATGTCATTTTATGTAACGACCGATTTAGTATGGTCGCGTCGTTACCTAATTTTTTTTCTCTCATCTTGCCCTTTTTCTATTATTAAATAATCCTATTCTATCATTTATTCTACTTTTTATATAATAATTCTACATTGTATCGTACTTATTTTTGTAATATTGCAAGTTTATTTTTCATATTGTTGGTGCATGACATCATGAAACGACGGGAAGCAATGCAATCTATCCAAATATTATATTTATCCAAATTATATAATATAATATAATATGATATATTATGAAATGACATGTAATAACTGTTGAAACAAGTTGTTGGTGATGTGATTTACCAACTTTGTACATGCCTGAACATTTAAATTTAAAGTATCATGAACTATTATTAAGATTACTAGTTTAGGCCTTATCTGAATCTTCTTGTATAGATAAACAAGTCGGTCGGCTTCGATCGTTTACATGATTATGGATAAAATTAACGAGGACTCTAGAGTTTCCTTTTCTATACTTTGACTTCGATTAGTATCATTAAATCGTCTCAGTAGCAACTAGCAATTACCAAACCAATATAAGAAATATGTTCCTTTGGAAATTAGAATCTTTCTCCAATCAGGAAAAAAATAAGAAGCCCAAATGGACTAAAATTGCTATAGACTTGGTTCGTCGTCTGCATGTCCAAGCCCACTACTCGTGCGAGGACGAATAGTTTATGAGCTTTAGAGAGAGAAAAACAATACTGTTTAGAGAGAGAAAGTTTGGGGGAAGAACGAAGGAGCACGAAGACAGAACCAGGAACCTTATTTTACTCGACAAATACATACGTATTTATGTCAATATAGGCACTTGTTGTCTCATATTGTACAAGCCGAGGGACATATTGTACGAGATTCAAATGCATTCCCTGCTTCAGATATTCTAGGGCAAAAATACCTTTTGCTTTGAATTGAGGTAAGAAAAAACCCTAGAACCAGGAGAAACTTACAGGGGTGACGCATTGCTAACCCTAGATGCAATTCGGGCATTAGTATTCACAATTGAGGTATTCCTTTTGAATCCTAAGCTTTACAAACCCTAGAATTTGGACTTTTGTTCATTTTCGTGCAAACCCTAGAGTTCATATTGTTCATTTTGGGGTTATTTCATAAGAAGGGAATGTGAAATTGAGAATTTGCATATGGGGTTGCATATTGCTTAAACTGTTAAGAGTAGCTCAATTTTACGTGACAAGTTATTGTTGTTCTGCATGTCATGAAATGAAACTAATGTTCGCTCTGAGCTTGTTTTTCTTCTCATTCGAATTGTTTGAAGCTGGTGATCACCGAATTATGTGCTTCTGTGCAAATGAGTAAGATATGGATGAATGTATGCAAAAAAGCTTCCCCCCTTTTCAGGCATCTTTAATATTTGAATTTTATTTGTGCTGCCTAGTCGTGCGAACAACTGAGTTGACATGCAATCATGCATGGACCTTTTTTTTATAACCGTGGTGTCCGGGCCAGCTTGCGCTCACCTCGACTAGTTTCACTCGACTAGTTTCAAGGGATACCTCCCACCAGCAACATGTACCAACAACAGGTACCAGGTAACTCTGTCTACCAAGATTTGGATGGATGAGAAGAAATCACGTAGTGTTTTTGCCTCCGTTGGGATTTGAACCTGAAACCTCATGGTTCTCACCTACTCCATTGACCACTAGGCTACTTCCTTGGGTGCAATGAACTTTTTTTTGGATAGCTACATTCTAGAGACCAAGTTGTTAGTTACTGATTGATGAATGGTTCACATACTATACTTAATGGATGAGTATAGGCTACAAGCAATTACACTCACACGAAGGCACTTGCAGTGGAACATGGGATATTCATTTTATCTTGGATACATATAATCAAAATGTGAAAAGGAAAACCATTGACAGAGTGCATGGGCAGTAACTTACCCATTTTTGTTACATTGCTGTTTAGATTTAGATGTGTTCTTTCTCAAGCAGCTTATGCTCCAATGTGAACTCTTTCATCTTGTGTACTGTTAATTTGTACAAAGAGTCCCCATGGATATTATGGATGTTGACGGGAAAATTTTGTCTTTTCTATTATACGCTTGCTGTTACATGATGAAACCATCTACAATTGCCTAAGAGGAAAGATCAATGTGGATCCTCCAGTAGGAGCTTACTCGATCAGTTCAGTTTTTGCCTAGTAACTATTGCATAAGAACTTTAATTTAGAGCCAGGTAGATCTTGAAAATTTTCTAGAAAGAAGGTGAGGTGAGAAAGGAGCTGAGGCAGTGCAATTCTCTGCCCCAGCATTGGTCCATGTTACGTAGTTTCTTACATTTGCAGACCAGTTGGTGGAGCCTGTCTTGCCCCACTTTAAACCTATAAGTATGTAAAGTATTAAGAGGCATTAACATAGTTTATCGAGGCCTATATATTTTTCCCGTATCTTCTATAGAAGCCCTGATAAGGTATACTAATGCGACTCTCTTCCTCTTCAAAGTAACTGTTCATCTAGCCAGTAATATGTGTCTGGTGGTTCTGTATCTAGGGATGTTACCTTGGCAAGATATATTTTTTTGTTTCCAACATAACTGAATCCCGATGATCCTACTTGTGAAGTTGCTTTCTTTTGGCAAGAGACCTGGATTCTCTTGTGCCATATTCCTTTTTCTGCAGTTATATGTTTCACTTCTACTCGTAGTAGACTGTTTACGAAGCAGGGTTAATTTTCTTTTTTCTTTTGCATTTGTTCAAGAAAGAGAGGAACGTGATTGGGGCTGCAACCAGATAGTGTCCTAAGTTCGTAGAAGTACAAAAGGTAATAAACTGAATTCTTGTATGTATGCTACAAAAGATACTTACCCATATCCAAACAAGGGGTATACATCTTCTGATATCCATGTACTAATATCTGTTATTTTTGATAACCATCTATGTACTAATATCAGTTGTTACTACTTTTGTTGGTATTTCAGTTCCTGCATGATGTCTAAGTGTTGTCTTGTCTTCAGGAATTTGATCGAGGCTTGTGCTGATGGAGGGAACACCCTGTAGCTTTTAAGGTGGGAATGCATGGATGTGGTGCGGAATCTGATCCCGTAGTCAATGCCGAGGTTGATTCGATGGGAGGAGTTCTTGAAGGTGGAGTTGGTATTGGTAACATAACTTCTCCGCGGAGATCAGCAATTGAGGAGGTTCAACTTGAGCTTAGGTAATGCTAGCGTGCTACTTCACTTCCTTGTCCTGCCTATATGGAATTTAATGATTTCAGTACTTCCTCTATACTTATGGTGAGATTTGTTGTTGTTAACAGGCAGGAGTATTGTTTCCTAGAGGAAAAGAGAAGAGAATTAGAATTTCTTGAGAAAGTATGTTGGTTGGACCAGTTATTATTAGATTTTCAGAAATTATCCGCTTGCATTTTTGGCAGGACTTGATTCTTCTTATTGCAGGGTGGTGATCCGCTGGATTTCAAATTCGGGAATGCTGCTTCACTTAGTGTTCAGTCCACTTCTCTGACAGATCAACATCCCGATAAGCTTGTGACCAGGTAATTTCTCAGAGTTCTGTTGGTTTTCTAATCCTTATTATGCTTGCCTAATTTTCTTTCTGCGCTCTAGTGAAGCAAAAGGTAGTTTTGCAATTACTGCTTCTCCTCATGGAGACTCAGTTGAAAGTAGTGGTCGACTTGGGGCTCCTCAACTTTGTGAACCCAACAGTGCTGACAATCTCATGCTATTTGATGGTGAAAATGAATTCACTGAAGGTGATAGGTCTTCTAGACACCCCGGTAGGAGCAATCTTACTCCATCAGAGCAGTCATTTATGTTGGATAGAAGTCGCAATGCAAAAGAATTGGGTGATTCTGCTGCTTTTGGTGTCCCTAGAAAAGCTTACAAGCGAAGATACAGGTCCCGGCCTAATGATGTAAAAGGACTGGTTTCTGATGGAGAAAATCCAAAAGACCAGAACTCTTCTTTGAACATTGCAGTGCCTTCTAGTCCAAAGGGTTGTATGCCTGTGAAGACTCTGGCTTCTGAAGTAGATGGTGTTAAAGCTGCAGAGTCAACTACTTACTTGAAGACGGATGATCTGGCAGATAGCATTCCTGAAGCTAGTGCTTCCAGAGATTTGCTGGATAACCAACATGATCAGAACTCACACACAGGTGTTAAGGAAATGTCTATTCAGGAAGGTCCTGAAAGGCTTCCATCGTCACTGGGAGAAGAAGCGGTAAGTTCTGCTGGCCAGGAAGGTCAGTCATGTACAGCTGCAGCAGGCCTTGGGAAGCAAGCTAGTTCCAGCCAAATAAATGGGTTCAGTTGTGGGAAGAGTGACCAGAAAAGCATACCAAATGATGCTCAAAGCAGTGGTGCAGCATTGGGCACAAAGGGTTTAGATTCAGAATCTTCTTGCACCCGGACTACTCTAGATCGAAATAATGATAGGGAAATGATTATGAACCCAAAAAACTTGGACTCCAAAGGTGACTTGAAGGAACAAATGTCGGTGCCAGAGGGAACACCCATTATCGAAAGCAATCTTAAAGAACAGAAAGAGGTGAAAGCTGGTGACGGTTGTGGTTTGACCAATGAAGTATGCAATTCTGGCCCCAAAAATCACCAAAATTATTTTCTCGATACATCACAGGAAGAATTTGTTAGCAGTGAACCTAATTTGCTTTGTGAGGTAAAAGATAATACTACCACTGTAGTGGAAGCAGTTGGCCCATCTCCGTCAGAAACTGAGAGGAAACCCAGTGCAAATACAAGTGATAGTTCCAACCTCCAAAAAGGAAATGCTTGTATTATTGGACGTCAGGCTTCAGTTGAGTCCAGAATACCTGAGCCTTCTCAGCATGTATCACCACATGGAGTTTCAAATCTTTCCCCTGAGGCACAAGCATCTGGGATCAACGTTAAACTTGCTACCAGGGGTGATGAAGACTCAATCTTGAAAGAGGCACAGATTATAGAGGTTTTTGCTTTAATCTTTAAACTAATTCACATCTTCTTCTGGTCGGGCTTGTAAAAATCTTGCTATGAGTTCGTTATTTGGCTGTAAAGATCTAATGTTTAATTTAACAAACAGGCGAAACGTAAAAGGATTGCAGAGTTATCTGCAGTGACCTTTCCAGTGGAGAATCGTCGCAAATCCCACTGGGATTATGTACTTGAGGAAATGGTTTGGCTGGCAAATGATTTTGCTCAGGTGTGACTTAATTGACCCTTGCCGTTAGAGCCACTTTCATTCTTGCTTTTCTAATAGCTTTTTTTTAATGCCGAACTGAATGGTTGAAACTTGATTGAATTTTCATGAAGGTTCTGGATCTTTGTTTTCAATTAGAGCCACTTTCATTTTTGATTTTGTAGTAGCTTTTTTTATGAGTTCCATAACTGAATGGTTGAAACATGATTAAATTTTCATTTAGGTTCTGGAATTTGTTCAGTCTGTTTCTCCAAACTTACTGGAAATTTGTCCAGTCTGTTTCTCCAAACTTAGCCACTTATTCAAAAGTCTCTCATCATGTAGGAACGTCTTTGGAAAATGACTGCAGCTGCTCAAATGTGTCACCGGGTGGCTTTTACCGCGCGGTCACGATTCCAAGAACAAAATAGTAGTTGGGAGCTAAAAAAGGTAGCTCATATTATGGCCAAAGCTGTCATGGGTTTCTGGCAGTCTATTGAGGTATATAGATATGAAGTAGTATTTCTTTTTTTGTTATGTTTTTGCTTTTCCTTCCTTTGTTGAAAAACAAGTTTTCTATGAAGGGGTAACTAATCATGCCCTGGTTTTTTTTCTTCCCTGGTTGAGCAATTCTTTTGTCCATTGGCAGTTGGCATGGATTTATCTGCCTGTTGGTTTATGGAATGCCATAACCCCTTTCTTTTGTAAATGAACATCTGGGTATGGAATAAGTGATACACTATACTGATCTGATACGCACACATACATAGACACAGAAGCTCACACATATGTGTATTTATGTGTGTGTGTGTATGTTCATTTACTTTTTTATTGTAGTTCTTCTATATGCAGATAGAGGCTTGTATCATTATCTGATCAAAGGCCCCCCTCTAAATTTATATGGGGATAGAAGGGTGAACCCAGTGGTTAAAAGTTAAATAGTTATTTTCATGTAATTGCTGGATACATACTTATATATATACTCTTGTATTCCAACAATGAAATTAATGAGCTCTTTTATTAGGCTAGACAGCGTTTGCAGCAATTTTCCATTGCATTGTATGAGCTTCATAGTATGATTGAACCGAGAATTATCAATTATGTGATTCATTTCTCACATAAGCATTGGGTAAGCAGCAAACATTTCTAAGAGAATGTACTAATTTGAACTTGTATATACATAAGCTGGTTGGGTTGAAGAGCTGCCTTGATGTATGCGATCTCAATGCAATTAAATTAAAGTTGGGAAAAGTATAATGGTTGTTCTCTAGCAAGAAAATTTTTAAATTTTGTTGGTAATAATTAAATAGGGCAACCATTAGAACAAATGACAATGCTTCAGAATCTACTAATTCCAATTAACTTCTGTTTTTCCCTGTGTACTTGCTTCCAATGAAAGGCTGGAGAGGAGATCTTTGTCCCTTAATTCGTAGTTTGTGATTCTCCTGGCAGGGGAAAAGCAAAAAACTGGAGCTGCCGATCTTTAGAAAGGGTCATACCCTTGCTATTAGGGAATATGCCATGAGATTTCTGAAATACAATGACTCTGATGTTCCACAAAGCCTTGCTGAAGCTCCGGTGACTCCAGAGAGGGTGTCTGATGCTGGAATCATTGATGCGCCCCAGGAAGATCATTTTAGAGAAGTATGTATGCTTTAAACGTCACTGTCTTCTGATCTCTGGTCTTTAAATTTTTCTCAGTGAACATATTTTTGGGGATCTTTTGAATGCTAATCTATTTCATTTTCTGGGGTGATACTTGTTGCTCTTTTATTTGTTTATGTTTTTTATTCAGCAAAAGGTAAATCCTTCTAAGTGATCCTCATGCCTTCATGCAGGAGAACCTCTTCTATGCTGTCTCCCTTGGAGCAATGGATGCTTACAGAAAGTCCATCGAATCTCATGTGCTGCACTATGAGGTAATATATCGAGAATCACTATTTCGCCAATGCTTGATTTTACATGTTCTGACTTGTTGAGTTGCAAATTACTGGTTTCATCCAACACAGTTGGTTGACCTTGGCCTAGATAAAAGTATTATGAGATCCTAATAGAACTTAACTCTATTATATTCAAGGTCTAGTCAGGAAGTGAATGTAATAACTTAATTGAACATTTGTTACAAGTGCAGTGTTCTCGGGTACTCTGAGTTGTGTCTAATTGTCCGTAATTGGTGTTCTGTTATTCTCTTTGGTATAACTTCTAATAGTCATCCTTTATTGGCTTTTTCCTTTTGCTGCCTAAGGGGATAAATACTAAATACTAAATGGATTTTGGGGAAGAAAAGAATGTGCAGTTTGGCAGTTTTCCTCCTATGGATTTGTTGCAGCACTTCCTTAACATGGAATTTACAACATATGATGATTGTGTTAGTTAGGTCGTTAGTTAATGGGGGAAGTTGTTCTTTCGATGTAAATTGTTTTTGGAATGAAGTTGTTTTCTTGAGCATTCTGCATATACTTCCTATGTAAAGAATGTTATTATAAATTTGAACAGTATGCCGTCCAAAGTGTAAGCTGTTCTTTCAACTGTTTGAATAATTCCTAGTTTGAAAGTGGGCCCTGTAGCACCTTTTTTATGATTAGAATATTGGGAAGTATTGAATTGTGCATGGAGTAAGTTTCCTTAGACAATTTTGCCATAATCCTAATAGAAAGTAGGACAAATTATTCGGTACAGGGGAAGTATCTAAAACTACGTAGTGGTGCTGCCTTTTTTATGAGGTCTTCTACTTTTTGGTATACTTCTTGTATGCGGGCACGCTTTTGCCCTTTCTTTAATGAAATTTATTACTTTATAAAAAAATTACGTACAGGTGCTGCCGTACTTTGAATTCATGATTGATATATTGCTTGTTCTTATTTATTTTTACACAACAATAGACATCAACATGCCAGGTGCTTTTGACTGATAAAGGGAATAGTAAGAGTTGCATTTCAGATATATTCAGTGCGACCTTGTAGCCAACACTGTCCTTGTTGGCTTTAGCAGTATGTTTTTGTGTTCTAATCTCGCTTGTTGATGCTAGTCCATTATTTGAAATTTCAGAAATTTGGTATGCATGAAGAGGTGGAGACATCTGCATGCATTACAGTTCCAGGTTTCCTTTCTTTTTCTGTTCTCTTTTTATTTTTTATGTTGTTGGGAGTTTGTTGCCTCCTGGTACTGTTCTTTCTAGTTGGTCATATTTCTTGCTGTATGTCTAAGCAGACTTTGGATCTCAAGACTATGCATTTGAAGAGGATGAAGGAGAGACAAGTCCATATGACATATCAGTTGCCATTGAAGGTAACAAATTGTCAAGATTTTCCCAGAAGAAAAGGAAGATCCTCATAAAGGCATATAATGGACGATCATATGATGTTCACACTGATGTACCATTTACACAACGTGTGGAAAACAAACTTGGTACTCATCAATCTATGCAACTGGGCAAACGGCCAGCAAGCAATCTTAATGTGTCTATTCCAACAAAGCGTATGCGTACTGCTTCTAGGCAAAGAGTTCTTAGTCCTTACAGTGCAACAACATCTGGATGTGCTCAGTTGCCAATCAAAACTGATGCTTCAAGTGGTGATACCAGTTCATTTCAGGATGATCAGAGTACTTTGCATGGGGGATCACATATGCCAAATAGTTTGGACGTTGAGTCAGTTGGCGATTTCGAAAAGCATTTACCATTTGACTCCAGTGAAGTTTCAAAACCTAAAAAGAAGAAAAAATCAAAGATTCTGGTACTTGATAAATTGCTATATCCTCAGTAAACAACTGTTTTTTGGTTTAGAAGCATCTCAATGTTCAGTTTTCTTGATGACTGCATTCTCGTTGATGCAGGGAGCATATGAACAGCGATGGAAGGCTGATTCTAATTTTCAAAAGGAGCAGGTGATTTCCTTTTTCTTATTCACTGTGAATCTGACTGCACTTTACTGTAAAGCTTTTGCACTTCCCAATTGGAGCTCAGTTAGGGAAGTGATCCACTTACAGGTGTTTCTCAATAGCTTGTCAAATTATTCTTTCTTTTTTTCACATAGCGGCTTGATTTATTAGTTAGTTTTTTTTCCTGTTAGTATTGGACGCTAGTTTACAGAGGTCTTGATCTTTTGGTCTTGTTCTCTTTTCCTGCATATCTCTGGAAGCTCGAAACAACTATGTTTCTTGATTATTTACTGGGCATTGATATATTTCTTTCCTTATGTGTGGTTATTTTCATTTTATTTCCTTTTTCTTGGGGAGGGGGGAAAAACTTCATGTTCTTTGTTGATCTTGCTGTTGAAGTATTTGAATATGCTTGCTTTAGCAAAATCCAAGTTATATGCAACAGATACTTCTGTGCTGTTGATGACTCAATCTACAGCATGTTGGAGAAGTATGTACTATATCATCCTTTTGACAGTTTTAAGAATGGCAATGCTGATGTACCTTGATAACTGGATCTCTTGCACACAAACACATTTCTGTAACAATTTTGTGATTGTTTATAATTTGTTTGGTTTCAGAGGGACTTTTCCAGAAAGAGATTGGAGAGCCATCAACTTGATTCTAATGGTAGTAACGGTACGGCTTTTATTAACTTTGCATCAGTTTTAGAGCTTGATACTAAATATTCTTCTTGTATAACGGCACTCTCTCTTTTGAAGGTTTAGTCGGTCAACATATCACAAAGAAGCCAAAGATGATGAGGCAATCACTTGAAAATTCTTTTGAAAATATAGGTGCTGGTGGTGGATTTGTCCCATCTCCAGCGGCTTCCCAGATGAGTAACATGTCCAACCCAAATAAACTTATAAGAATGCTTAGTGGTAGGGACCAGGGTAGGAGAGGCAAAACTTTGAAGGTGCTTATTTATGCTAGAATATGTTGTTTTATTCAAATTTGCTTTTATTTGTAAGAAAAGAATGATTATCTGAAGATCTATCCGCTAAAAGAATGAATTTGCTTGTTAAAATCTCATGCAGACGTCTGCTGGACAACCAGGTTCAGGAAGTCCATGGTCGCTATTCGAGGACCAGGTTGGTTTCTTTTTTATCTGATAATGTACCTACTTCTGTTTCTTTTTTCATTGTAGTTCTTCTGGCGTGAGGTGTATAAATGGATTTGACTTCAAAATTTTAGGCGCTCGTGGTCCTGGTGCATGACATGGGTCCAAACTGGGAGCTTGTAAGTGATGCTTTCAACAGTACTTTACAATTCAAGGTGAGCATAGTCATGAGGTTTCTTAGCGTCTTTTAGCCAGACAACTCTAGCAGTCGATGATTATAAATCTTTCCTATATTTACACTTTCTTTACTGCTTTCTAGTTTTCTTTTCTAAATTTTCTTTTACCTTATCTTTCACTGCTTGCTCCTAAAGAATTGTCTTGAGTAAATACAGTGTATCTACCGCAAGCCAAAAGAATGCAAAGAACGACACAAAATACTGATGGACAGAAGTAGTGGTGATGGTGCTGATAGTGCTGATGATTCAGGATCTTCTCAACCTTATCCTTCAACATTACCTGGCATTCCCAAGGTTCAGGATTGCTTTTGCTTTCTCTAGTACTTTGATGTCAAAACTTCTTTACCCTTTTTCTGTAATTTGAATAAACATGCTAAACATCATTCAGGGAAGTGCTAGGCAACTGTTTCAGCGTTTGCAGGGGCCAATGGAAGAGGATACACTTAGATCTCATTTTGAGAAAATGATCTTGATCGGGCAGAAATATCTTTTACGGAAGAATCAGGTATATTCTTGCATTAGCATTTCTCCATAAAATTTGTCTAGCTTCTTCGCCATATTAGAGTGAGAGCCCCTATTTTGTGGTCGTTGAACTGCAGTTTGCTGGTTTGTTATCTGCCTGCTTAGTATACATATGGCAACTTTATTTTCTTCCCTCATATTACGTGTTGATGAAATTACTATATTAGGTGTCTTTGGTAATTGGGGCGGCCATTCGGTTTCTATCATACTAGGACCAAAAGGGGATTAGATTTTCTGCAATGCATTGCTCAAAACAATAGAGCTTCAATACCTGATGGATCAGAATTGTTAAGTCTTTGCAGTAATACGGGTTTACTAATGTCCCAAACATCCACAAAATGTAAGAGTGCACTTTGAGACATTTAATGAAACCAAACACCTAGCTTGATCTTTTCATAAGGGAAATAATTTATGAATGATGGAAAACTGACTGCATGGTATTTGCGTGAAGAATAGTTTAATATATTCTTGCATAGAAAGTAGTTGCTGGATATGTTACTACTTGTGAGGTCCCAAGTCGATTCATCAGTAAAGGAAAAATCATTGTCTTATGCATAAAACATGTGTATTTCCTTGCTTAGCGGACTTTGACAGGACATTTCGCTATATCACTTATAGAAGGAAAAGGGAAAACAAATTTTACTGAATTTGGCATATTTTACAATAAGAATAATGTACTTGTTGGGACTAGTTTAAAACTTTAGATTTCAAAGCAATTGAACAGAAGCGTGGTGTGATTCTACATCGAAACCTTATAACTACTAAATTGATGTCTCCTCTGGGTACTGAAAATTTTACATCACTTCAAAGTTTTGCGAACTATCGTGGAATTAAACTTATGATTCATATAAGGAAACTCTGGAAAGAGTAATAGAGCCTAGACTTAGAGACACTATAAGAGTGACTGAGAAGCAGTGTTGAGTCATGCTCGGTAGATCTGCAACATAAGCCATATTCTTACTGAGAAGATTGATGAATATTTATTGCGTGAGAAAAAAAGATCTATGCATGGTGTTCATTAACCTAGAGAAAGAAGATTTAAGCATGGTGTTCATTGACCTAGAGAAAGCATATGATAGAGTAGCAGGAAAGGTCCTTTGGTGTCTGTTGGAGAAGAAAGAAATTCATTTTTAAATGTATGAACGGCATAAGCAATATGTATGAAGGAGTTGCCACTAGTTTGAGAAAAGTAGTAGGAGATACAAATGAGTTCCTATAACCGTGGGTTAACACCAAGGATTGGCATTGAGCCCATACTTGTTTAACCCAGTTATGAATGGCTAACAAACACAGTACAAGATGAGATCCCCTCATCTTTTATCAACTCCCCTCAATTTTAACTCCCCTCATCTTTTGGTTTTGGAAACATATCTAGAGTCTTTGGCCTCAATTACAAGGTGGCACAGTGTTAGCCCTCCGCCGCTTTGGGATTGAGTTGGCAACGAGAGTGTTGTCAAGGCAGCAGGAGTGTTGCCAAGCTAAGGTGCGCGAAATAGCACCAAGGCAAACGAGAAATGGGCAAGCGATGGACAAGGTCTTGAGACAGGCAAGACATGCTTGGCAAAGGCTTGACAAGGCAGTGTGGGCAAATTGGTGCAGCATGGCACAACATGCGCGCCAAAGACAAAGGACGGGCAATTCGGTTTGTGGTAGCGGCAAGTACAGGCATGCTAAATCAAGATAGCGTGGAATGATAGCGAGGGGTCTCAATAGCTAAGGCAAAGCTATGTGAGGCAAAAGACAAGCAATGGCACGGGTAAGACAAGTATTGACAAAGACAAGGTAGAAACGCGGCTAAGGCAATGTGCGTACGACAAGAGTGTCGGGCGTGTGCGGCAAAATCATGGGTAGCATGTTGCGGACAAGGCATTGGTGCGGAGCAATGTCAAAAGGCGCCAAGGCTGGGCAAAATGCCAGCCTTAGGGCGTGCAACAGCTGACCAAGTAAATCAGGCACATGTAGTGCACATGCCAAGGTAGAGGGCGTTTACCTTGTTGTAATAACTTGTACCCATGTCTGTGTAGTTCTTGTATTATTATTTCGTGTAAAGGCCTAAGTAGTTGGGGGATGTCAACTACAAGTTAGGACAAATTTAGCAATGCTGTGTGACAGGCTTGTTTCAGTGGATGGTGGGGCCAGTGATCCACCAAAGGGCCAAGTGCTCCAGAATGAGGGCTGAGTGCTCCACAAAACAGAGCTAAGTGCTGAAGAGGGTCATTTCGTGGGTGAGTGCCCCATTAAATGGTTAAGTGCTTATTTAGTGCTTTGCCTGAGAAAAGCACTAGAAATGGACTGCCCTTTTGTAAGTTGCCCCTTCAAATCTGCCAGTGATAGCCCATATATCTATATATATGGGGCATTTCGTGATCAAGAGAAGAGAGAGGAGTCTTGAGATCTAAAGACTAAGAGTAGTCTTAAAAGAGTCCTAAAAACGTGTAAGAGTGCATGTTTATCTTAGGAAAGAGTTCCTAAGTCTGTTTTCAAGAGTGAAAACACCCAAGGCTAAGAGTAGTCTTTGAGAGAAAACCCGAGGGTCAAGAGTGATCTTCTTTTGTACGCGGAGTACTTAGAGTTGAGTTTCTTTGTATACTCGAGTTATAAATACAAAGTTGGGAAAAGAGTTTCCTGTATATTGTGCGTTGTGTTCTTGTCAATTTACCGTTGCCTTACTTTTAATTCGTTGCCTAAATCAGTTCTAAAGCTTACTACGTTGAAGCTGCCCGAAAATATTCTAAGTCCAAAGTTGTTGTAATTTTGGCCGAGTGTTGGATAGGCTGAAGTCAAGTGTGAGACTTGGCTGCCGCACAGGCAGGTTTCGACGGATAGAAACCACGCCCATGTGACACACAGCAATAAAGCTAGGTGATGGAAGGAAGACTTTTTTTGGCCTGACGAATGGTTATAGCAATCCTCTTTAAAAGACACTTTTCCTGACCTTTTTAGCTTTCTTTGGATACTTGAAAGTCTGTACAACAGTGCTGGAACAATGGAGATTGCTGTTTTAATTTTAGACTGGCAATGTTCTGATTGGAGATTCCAAGACTGGCCAAACTGTTACTCCCTTTGTTTCAATTCAGATGACACACTTTTCTTATTAGTCTGTTCCAAAAAGAACGGCACATTTCTATATTTAGAAATAATTTAACTTTAAATTTTTTATTCTACTCACTTTACCCTTAACGAGAAGCTTTTATAGCCACACAAATATTATGACCCCACTAAGATTTTGCCCCTTAAGTTTTTAGCACCACATGTTTCAAAAGTCTTCTTTTTTTTCTTAAACTTTGTGCCAAGTCAAACTACATCATCTAGATTGAAATGGAGGGAGTACGTGATATTGATGGAGTATCTTAAAATCTGGAAGCTCTCTTCTTTGGAAGGTTTAAGTCAAGGTCTATCCTCTGTAAAATCTTGTAAATTCTTGCTACTGCTAGATCAACAATGGTGTCAACAATTTTCAACCATGGCCATGGAAAAGCATATGGAAATCAAAAGCTCCCCATAAAGATTCATGCTTTTTGTGGGAAGTGATTCATGATGCTGGTCTAACACAATCTAACCCCCAAAGAAGAGGCTTTGCATTGTGCAATAGGTGCTACTTATGCAACAAACAGGAAGAGAACGGATGCCACTTATTTCTGCGCTGTTGGGTTGCTAAACAGCTTTGGGACTTAACTTTAGGGTACACATCGAATCAAAATCGGATGGCTGAAATGGAAAGAGTGTTATGGGATATAATGTGATAGGTGGATGCCCGCCAAAGTAAAAGGTGAGTTCTATGGAACGGTTATTAGACTAAAAATGTGAGCCTTGGGCTGCTAAAGTAGCACATCCACGAGATGACTGTTACAGAGATGGGGATGCTAAGATGCATGTTTAGTCATACAAGATTAAAAGTGACAGCATTTGCTAGAAGGTGCATGTAGCACGCATTGACGATAAAATGAGAGAAGGTAGTTCATGATGGTTTGGCCATATCGATCTCCAGATGCACCGATCCTTAAGTGTAAAATCATGGTGAATGAAGGTGTTAAAAAGGAACGAGATAGACCCATCTCATGGAAGGAGGTTGTCTCGAAAGACCTACAATCTCTTGGAATCAATGCATGCTTAGCAAAAGATGGACACACTGAAAGAAAAAGATTTAATATAAGCGAAATCAATTAATTGAGAATATGTATTAGTCATGTTAATATGTTTGCTTTAGGTCCTGTGCTTTCTAGGAGTCTTTTGGCCCTATTAGTGATTCTTATTCCAGTAGAAAATATAGAGAACTTTTTTACTTTTCAGTTTTATTTTTATTTTTTTTAATATTGGTTTGAGATGAATTTAGCCCTATTAGAGATTCTTATTCCAGTGGGAGATAGATAGAACTTTTAGTCCTTTTTATTTTTGTTCTATTTTGTATAATGTTGGCTTGAGATGAATTTAAATGGAGAACTTGATCTGTGAGAATTCATATAGCGGACTCCAATTTGTTTGGGACCGAGGCATAGTTGCTATTGTTCCAAAAGTTTTGGTTATTTTATGTCTATGTAACTCTATCATAGAAAATAGGACAGATTATTTTTGAGGAGGGGAAGGGGAGCGGGAGGCGATTGTATTATTGTTTTGTCCCGCATTGTCTGTTATTGGAAAGTTATCATAACTCTAGTTAGTCACTGTAATATTTGCTTACTATGTCACTGAATTTATATTTCCCTAAACGTGTATTGATATTACCTCTTTGTCCCAATCAAATGTCTATGTTTATTTAACACAATTAAATTAGATCTGATATGTCTTGTTTTATGCAAATTAGGGAAGAAGAAATTGTGAACATGTTTGTTTTTATAGAGTGAAAAAGAGAGATTATTGATAAGTGTAGAGTGGCTATCCAGGACTGTTTGTGCTATTTTGTGTGATATCGATACACTACATAATTTTTTTATTTGGTACCTCAAAATGAATGGTTGATAATGGTTGATATCAATTCTGGGATAAAGGTAATGCATATCAAATTTGAAGAATATGCCATTTGGGTTAGTGCATTATAATTTGGGGTACCAGAGACAAGGAACTAAACCATTCTTCTAATATACCAATATTTCAAATGAGCAAATCTGTTCTTCATTGGAGTCCATTCCACTTTGTATTTATGGGTAGTCTAGGTAGAGAGGAAATGCGATATTTTCTGAGAAGGAAGACCCTTGCATACCTTGAATATGAATGCTTATAGCTTGTCTTTTTGTTTCGATGTAAATTTTGTACAGGATTCTCAGTCCCTGCATTACATTCAAACCCCCAAACACCCCCAACAAAAAAAAGGTGAGACAATATTAGCAGTTTTAGGTAGCCAGGAGAATGTTGAAATTCATTTTAAAAGTATCATATGTGTGCAAAGCAGGAATTTATTCTCTGTTTGTTTGCTTTTATACATCTGAGCGCCAAGTTGATGTATACATTCCTGTTTCAATTTAGGGTTATAAACATGATCCGAGACATCTCCAGCAACCACATGATTCTCACACACATGTTCTTTCCAAACATTGTACAAATAATCTGAACGGAGGCCCTATTTTTACGTAAGTCTTTCTGCAATGCTTAATAAGAGTTGGACACTTCTCAAGTTCGGTTGTTACTAAAGCTTAGCTAACTCTTAATAATTCTTTTCCTTTATTGGTTCATTCTGTATGTTATATGAAGACCTTTGGACCTATGTGATGCGCCCTCGAGTCCAGACTATCTTTCTGTTGGATGCCAAGGTCCGCACCCAAGTGAATTATCTATCTCAAGTCAGTGTGCATTAAACTCAGTGCTCCCAGCGTCTGGTGCAAACTCCGCAGTCCAGGGGTCGTCCAATATGATTAGTGGAAACAACTTTCCGTCAAGTCCCCTCAATGCATCTGTTAGGTAATGAATGGGTTATGCTTAAAATAATGTGTTGGCTTGTTCTCGTCATGTTCCAATTTGGGTAATTTTGCTCCCAGGGATGGTAGATATATTGTTCCTAGATCTGCATCTCTTCCAGTTGATGAACAGCAGAGATTTCAGCAGTATAATCAAATGAGAAATATGCAATCCAATATGNGCAGAGGCAACATGATGATGCACCAGAACTTGCAGATAGATCCCTCTCTACTGAATGGGCTTTCGAACAATCAAACAAATCAATCTGCTGAGAAAGGTGAGCAAGCCACTCACTTGATGCAAGGTCATGGACTATATTCTGGTACAGCACACAGCCCTGTCCAGCTTGCAAAGCAAGCTGTGGCACCTCATTCTTCAAGTCAGCCCCAGCCTAAGATTTACTCTGGCCAACTACCTCCATCTACCAAGCATCTTCAGCAGCAGATGCCTAATCAGGATAATAGCAATCAAGGTCCTGGCTCATTGGCTCCCTCTGATACTATTTCATCTCAGCAATCTGTTCCATCCTCAGTCACAGGTTCTTCCAACCACCAAGGATTGGTGCATCAACAACCACAGGTGCAGCCACAACCAAAATTGATGAATCAAAGCCAAGCAACTGTACAACGGGTATTGCAGCAGAACCATGTAGTAAATTCAGATCAATCAAAGAAGTTGCAAGCTGGTGAACCTCAAGCTGAACAACACCCTATGTGCAAAACTTCTCAGATAGGTGCAATCACCTCAATGCTTCAGGACGTCAATGATGCAACTAATGTCGCAGATGTTTCAACTCTGAGTGCTAATCAGTGGAAGGGTACAGAACCATTANCCATTGTGTGATTCAATTGGGACTCCACCAACAAATTCTGCTGGCAGTGAGTCGGTGCCTCAAATCAGCCAAGGGGTAAGCCAAAGACAATCTTCAGGCAACTTGGCTCCAACAGGGCCTGATAGTTTCAACTGGCAGCAAAAATCCTCCCAGTTGCAACCTCCTTCCTCAGTGACCCAGCCACAGTTGCAGCAGCAGCTTTCACCATTGCAACATTCACAAGAACAGGCTCAGATTCTGCAAGCAGGGAATAGCAGTTCGTTTGCTAGGTCCAATGACTGTAGACTGGATTAAACCACCTTCAACAGATAAAGGATAATTCCTTTTTGGCTAATCAGTCCCTGAATGGGTCAGCATGCCTGGGAAACAGCGGTGTACAGGTAAGACATTCTTTTATCTTAATATGTACTGAAGTCAATTGACTTGCATTGGAGTTCTATTGGTAGTCTTGGTATCCAATGATGAGGAATTAACTACCTGAAATGCTTTAGAAAATGGTTCTTCCAATGGTGATACAGCCGCAAGAACTCATCCCCATTGACTGAGTTTAAATTTAAAGACATCTTTGATGCGGCTTTCAATTGATCACCTCCCCTACTTTTTTGGTTAAGATAGTTTTGGTTGTTGAATGATGATATTGGTGAAGTGGCAAAACATGGTGGTAATACCTGGCAGAACTTGCTAATTCTTGTTTATTTTATGGTTTCAGATGAAGCTCGTTGTCCCTGAGGGCATCACCTTATGCAAGTTGGTGAATTTTCAAGGTTTAGCAATACTAGAGGGACGTCTGCTTAAATATTGGGTTCTGTATATTATTGTCGCCCTAGAGCCTCAGGAAGGTAGGGACATATATAGAGGTACGTGTACAGGATTTTATCCTTTTCCTTTTTTTCCTTTTGATGTTACTTATTTCACTTTCGTAAAAGCCCCTTGTTTCACCGGCTCACGGAGGGATTCCTATTTTGATTTTGTCCCCATAGATCATCCCATGTATTATTGCCCGTTTTGTATTCAAGGGGGTAGTTATCATTTTTTGGCCGAAGGCTGTGGGAAATTTTGTGAATATTAGTCTTATGTATACTCCATATTTGTTAGAACAGTCATCATACATGACTGCACCTTCCTCGTAGCCTTCGCAATTCTTGTAAATTGTTCCTCTTTGCATTTGGCAAATCTTTAATGAGATGCATTCGCTGCTGTGTTTGCTTTTGAATCATATATATGCATACTTACGTGGAAGGATACTATGATCTATAAATGACGATGCGTTTTAAGGAAATGAATACTAACATTTAAATTTCCGTCCAACTGTTATTTATAGATGCCCTGTAGAAGCATTTTCTATTTTTGTGCTAAAATATCTGCAAGTTGGAGTTATCTAAAAATCAGGTGGACCACCGGGAGTTGGGCCAACTAACTTACAAAGTGATTTCTCGATTATATAAGAAAGAAGTATTTGCAAGTCACAGAAGTTTCTTGTTTACATTTCTGGCCTCCTTTTCTCCCCCATCCACCTCCCACGATCCGTGGCTTTCTGACATCGCCTCCAAATAGAGCTATCCTAACGATAATTTTACATAATCCTACCATCTCAGTACTTTGTTCTCAGCACAATCATAAGGGCAAACAAAGGCGTCGAAGAAGGGATATGAAAATTCAGGAAAACCAGTGCAGTGAACAAGACAACTAGTATCTGTGATGGTTGTAAATTGAAACAGGGGTCGTTGCAATTTGTGTCATACCCAACAAGAAGCAAATCACAAGCAAATCCTTCTCAAAATTCTAAGTTGAAAAGCTATCAACGAGCTTCCCTGAAAGATAATGGTAGGCAATACTCTCAGACCATATTTTGGTGGTTACAGTTCTTAGTAGCCCAACTATGTTGACATGTGTATTAGACCTTCCATGAACAGAAACGTATATTAGTTTCTTAGATTTATTTACCTTGAATTTGCAATTTTATTTTATTAATTTCCAGTGTCTGAACAATCAAAAAAGTCGAATGAATTGTATAAGAAAGTCTCACAAAAAAAATTGATTAACAGTATGATACAAACGTACCAATGAGGAGGTATGAGATGTTGACCTTGGAGGGCTTAAGGAGAGATAGAGGTAGGCCAAAGAAGTTTTGGGGTGATGTGAATAGGAAAGATATGGCGATGTTCCAGATTACCGAGGACATGACCCTTGATAGGAAGGTATGGAGGTCGAGGATTAGGGTAGAATGTTAGGTGGCCGAGTGATTTTTCTTGTTCTTACTAGTAGCATTAGTACGTACTCTTGTGTTGTTTTTAGTCTTAGGTTTCTATTATTGCATGTTGTTGCTTTCATTTTGGTCATCTTTCTATCTTTTTGTTTTCAATATTTTTTTTTGAGATGGTAACATACTGTGTATTATTATAAAATCAGTACATAGGTTGTACTGAAACCATATTTACAAGTGAGTAGACAAAAGAAATAACTGGTCCTCAGGCCTAACAAGATTCTAGGACATCTAGGATTAAACCAGTAGCTTTTGTATAAAACTATTTCACAAAAAGTAAAACACAGTTAAGCTTGATCTTTTGCACTGAGTTTCTACTATCCTTAAAACATCTACAATTCCTTTTTTTCCAAATTGTCCACCAAATACATGCTGGGGCAGTTCTCCATCTATTTTTGTCTCTTCAGTTCCAGTTTCATTCCAACTGAAAAGAACTTCAGTAATCTTACTAGGCATTGTCCAAGTTATGCCTCACAAAAAAAATTGATTAACAGTATGATTTTGGGAAAGCATTTCCCAGAAGGGATGGTTGAAGTAGCATCGTACGAGGAGAAGCCAAGGGTTTGGGGAAGAGCCCCTGACCTCTCGAGAAGCTTTGTTTGCAAAACTTGGAGCTTCTCTGTTCAGTTTTCGGTTCCTTCACTCGGAAATCTCTCTCTCTCTCTCTCTCTCTCTCTCTCTCTCTCTCTCTCTCTCTCTCTCTCACACACACACACACACGAAAGTCTCTCTCTCTCATACACACTCACACTAACACACGTGCGGTGAGGTTCTGTTTATTCCTCAAAAACTACAGCTACCTTTTTTGTTAACTTTTTGATTTGCCTCAATGACGTGATTCAGTGTACAAAGTAACTTAAACTTAGCATATAACTGAGTTATTCAACCTTAGCATGTAACCAACAAAAATGTTGAGTGAATCATCTAAATATGTCAACGTCATTGTTCAATGTGAAAGAAACTCTTTTCTCTTAGCTAGGACAATTTTCATAGTGGTGGAGTATTTTCCCTTTGATTTGGGTAATGCCTCAACACAAAATTCGTGTTGACTTGAGCCCTTGCTCGTCGCAGAACAGATAAGGGCTAGATGCCAAGATAAGCTACATGGTCGCCTTTACAATTCGTTTTACAGATATCACAACTTGCTTCATATCTTTCAAAAGTCTTGCCCGAATAAAACATCTTTCTTACTCACAACTGTGAACCCACCCAATATACATGATATGAGAGGTCTGAATGAATTCTCGTTGGGTCATTGAGTTTGTGTCACTTCCTTATCAGAATAATAACTATGTAAGTTCAAAAAACTAGTTTCCTCGAGTGCAAGACAGGTTTTTGCTTCCTCATCCCAGTGGAACAAGGTATCAGGTAGCTTGTTTGAAGAAGCGAACAAATGAATAAATCAGTATTTAACATCTTATTAGAAAAAACACAATTTAAGTCATATCAATAAAATACCCATTCAAGTACATTACTACAGTCCTCCTTCAAGCATTATCATTTTTAGATGGTTCGGACATGTAAAAAGAAGAGATACAAACGTACCAGTGAGGAGGTATGAGATGTTGACCTTGGAGGGCTTAAGGAGAGATAGGGGTAGGCCAAAGAAGTTCTGGGGTGATGTGAATAGGAAAGATATGGCGATGCTCCAGATTACCGAGGACATGACCCTTGATAGGAAGGTATGGAGGTCGAGGATTAGGGTAGAATGTTAGGTGGCCGAGTGGTTTTTCTTGTTCTTACTAGTAGCATTAGTACGTACTCTTGTGTTGTTTTTAGTCTTAGGTTTCTATTATTGCATGTTGTTGCTTTCATTTTGGTCATCTTTCTATCTTTTTGTTTTCAATGTTTTGTTTTTGAGATGGTAACATACTGTATATTATAATAAAATCAGTACATAGGTTGTACTGAAACAATATTTACAAGTGAGTAGACAAAAGAAATAACTGGTCCTCAGGCCTAACAAGATTCTAGGACATCTAGGATTAACCCAGTAGCTTCTGTATAGAACTATTTTACAAAAAGCAAAACACAGTTAAACTTGTTCTTTTGCACTGAGTTTCTACTATCCTCAAAACATCTGCAATTCCTTTTTTTGCAGATTGTCCACCAAATACATGTTGGGACAGTTCTCCATCTATTTTTGTCTCTTCAGTTCCAGTTTTATCCCAACTGAAAAAAAATTTAGTAATCTTACTAGGCATTGTCCAAGCTATGCCTCACAAAAAAATTGATTAACAGTATGATTTTAGGAAAGCCTTTCTCAGAAGGGATGGTTGAAGTAGCATCATATGAGGAGAAGCCAAGGGTTTGGGGAAGAGCACCTGACCTCTTGAGAAGCTCTGTTTGCAAAACTTGGAGCTTCTCCGTTCAGTTTTCGGTTCCTTCACTCGGAAATCTCTCTCTCTCTCTCTCTCTCTCACACACACACAGACACTCGAAAGTCTCTCTCTCTCTTTCTCTCTCTCTCTCTCTCTCTCTCTCTCTCTCATACACACACACACTAACACGCATGCGGTGAGGTTCTGTTTATTCCTCAAAAACTACAGCTACCTTTTTTGTTAACTTTTTGATTTGCCTCAATGACGTGATTCAGTGTAAAAAGTAACTTAACCTTAGCATATAACCGAGTTATTCAACCTTAGCATGTAACCAACGAAAATGTTGAGTGAATCATCTAAATATGTCAACGTCATTGTTCAATGTGGAAAGAAACTATTTTCTCTTAGCTGGGACAATTTTCATAGTGGTGGAGTATCTTCCCTTTGATTTGGGTAATGCCTTAACACAAAACTCGTGTTGACTTGAGCCCTCGCTCGTCGCAGAACAGTTAAGGGCTAAATGCCAAGATAAGCTACATGGTGGCCTTTACAATTCATTTTACTGATATCACAACTTGCTTCATATCTTTCAAAAGGCTTTCCCCAATAAAACATCTTTCTTACTCCTAGCTGTGAACCCACCCAATATATAAGAGATGAGAGGTCTGAATGAATTCTCGTTGGGTCATTGAGTTTGTGTCACTTCCTTATCAGAATAATAACTATAAAAGTTCAAAAAAACAATTTCCTCGAGTGCAAGATAGGTTTTTGCTTCCTCATCCTAGTGGAACAAGGTATCAGGTAGCTTGTTTGAAGAAGCGAACAAATGAATAAATTAGTGTATAACATCTTATAGAAAAAAACACAATTTAACTCATATCAATAAAATACCCATTCAAATACATTACTACATTCCTCCTTCAAGCATTTTCATTTTTAGATGGTTCGGACATGTAAAAAGGAGAGACACAAACGTACCAGTGAGAAGGTGTGAGAGGTTGACGTTGGAGGGCTTAAGGAGAGGTAGGGGTATGCCAAAGAAGTTCTGGGGTGATGTGATTAGGCAAGATATGGCGATGCTCCAGATTACCGAGGGCATGACCCTTGATAGGAAGGTGTGGTGGTCGAGGATTAGGGTAGAATATTAGGTGGCCGAGTGGTTTTTCTTGTTCTTACTAGTAGCATTAGTACGTACTCTTGTATTATTTTTAGTCTTAGGTTTCTATTATTGCATGTCATTACTTTTATTTTGGTCATCTTTCTATCTTGTTGTTTTCAATATTTTTTTTTTTGAGATGGTGACATACTGTATATTATAATAAAATCAGTACATAGGTTGTACTGAAACCATATTTACAAGTGAGTAGACAAAAGAAATAACTGGTCTTCAGGCTAAACAAGATTCTAGGATTAAAACAGTATCTTCTGTATAGAACTATTTCACGAAAAGCAAAACATAGTTAAGCTTGATCTTCTGCACTGAGTTTCTACTATCCTCAAAACATCTGTAATTCCTTTCTTTCCAGATTGTCCACCAAATACATACTGGGGTAGTTCTCCATCTATTTCTGTCTCTTCAGTTCTAGCTTCATCCCAACTGAAAAGAACTTCAGTAATCTTACTAGGCATTGT